CTGTCATGCTCCTGTCAGAATCTAATTCCGAGGGGGAGGCCGAGCAGCTGACAGGAAGTGGGAGTGTGGCTCCATTGGCTGTGGAAGAAACTGGGGAAGAGCAAAGTCCGGTTGGGCAGAGCAGGGGAGAAGTAGAACAAGGCAGAGGGAATTCAGAGGAAGATCCAGGCCCGCCCCCTCTTCATCCTAGGGCACACAGAGAGGAATGGAGAAGGGAGCAATGTGAGTTGCATGGCTTATGGGGGAGGAAAGGGCCCTGATTCCCTTCATTAGCTGCAGCTGGGAACACAGTGTTTAAAAAGGGAGGTTGTGCACAGCAACTTGTTGGAAACAAATTGTGAGTTATCTGTTATTGTTGAGGCTTATCTGGGTTCCTGGAGTCTCCCCAACTGTATGTGTTTTGCTGGCCTTTCAAGTCTGGAATTCCTTATCCTGCCCTGTCAAGTTAATTACTGCAGCATGGTTTGTGTGGATTTTTATTTACATTTTATATGTACTTTGTTTTTGGACTGAATTTCCTCCACCTAAAGACTGTTCTTGGGAGAGTTTTTTCTTCAGCCAAAGGTAACCTGGACATTGGGGGCAAAGTTGGAGGTATGAAAGGGACTCTTCTTACTTATGTGACTGTGTTGCCTTTGTGCCACGCCCTGGGTCATCACATAACCAATTCTCACACTGTTGCAGCAGTCCCATGGTCATATGATCAAAATTTAGTTGCTTGGCAACTACAGTTGCATTGTTCCAGGGTGACGTGCTGACCATTTGTAATCTTCCCAGCCAGCTTCTGACAAACAATGGGGGAAGCCAGATTCACTTAATGATATGTGATTCATTTAATGACATGTGATTCCTTTAATGATTGCAGTGGTTCACTTAACAACTGTAGCATAAGAGGTAGTAAAATGGAGCACAATTCATGTGCCTTGCTAACAAGTACCTTGCTTAGCAATAGAAATGTTGAGCTCAGTTGTGGTCATAAGTTGAGGACTACCTGAACTGTTATATTGTTTTGCCTTTAATATAAAACAATGTGACACCAGAAAATATGCATGTTTAATGCAACTTTATCTTCTTTCTACAGGCCTAAAATAAAGCAACAGCTATGTCTACATCAGTGGTGGAATTCAATTTTTTTTACTACCGGTTTTGTGGGCGTGGCTTATTTGGTGGGTGTGGCTAGGTGGTCATGTGACTGGGTGGGTGTGGCTTGGTGGTCACGTGACTGGCTGCGTGGCTTGGTGGTCATGTGACTGGGTGGGTGTGGCCAACTCAATGTCACTCACATCAAGGGGTGCCTCACCTGGCCCCTCCCCTCCCAGCCATTCCTTGTCACCCAGCCTCAACTTATCTATAGTTCTGTAAAAATGTTGTTCACCTTTTTTGACTTTATTATCTGCATACTATAGATGTACTTTCATGGACCACTGAAGGGAGGAAATGGCTCACATGCTTTACTCAAGAGTGTGATAGGCTTTTAAGGGGCAGCCACAAAGAAAGGGGGACAATGTATTTTCCAAAGAAGCAGAATGCAAACAAGAAGCAATGGATGGAAACTGAACAGAGAGAAGCAACCTAAAACTAAGGAGAAACTTCCTGTGAGTGAGAACAATTAACCAGTGGAACTGCCTGTCTCCAGAAGTTCTGGGTGCTCAATCACTGGAAGTTTTTAAGAAAAGACTGGACAGCCATTTCTCTGAAATGGTACAGGGTTCACTCCAAGGTCCCTTCTAAGTATCATTCTGACACCTTTCCCAGGATTTCTATTCAGAGTTTGGCATCCTCAGTTTTCTTGCCTGAGCTGGGGGTTGGACTAGAAGACCTCCAAGGTCCCTTTCAACTCTTGTTAAACACATGTGTATTTTATGCTCTGGACTATTGACATTGAATGCATGTAAATCCTGAAAAATATGTGATAGCCCCGGGCAAAAGAAAGGCAGAAAAATCACTCTAGGTGTAGGGACAGTGTAAAATATTAACACATGATAAATAATGGAACAATTAAAAATAATAGCACAGAGTTTTATCTCTCTATCTCTTCCTATTTTTTCTTTTTTCTCTCTTTCCTTCTCTCTCTCTCTCTCTCTCTCTCTCTCTCTCTCTCTCTCTCTCTCTCTCTCTCATACACACACACACACACACACACACACACACACAGAGCACTTAACAGACAAGCATTTTGGAAGCAGCTCCTTTAAATTTCTCCAAGGCTGGAGTGGATTCCCCCACCCCCTCTGTCAGACCGCACTCCTTCTCACTCCAGCACTTTGACTCACAAGGGGAAAGCGATACTTGCAGCGTCCATGGAGAATCCTTGGAGAAGTTTTTAAAGGACCTGCTTCCAAAATGCATTTCTTTTACGTTGCAAAAGTGCTCCACGGCTCGATTCATGCCTTTCTTCCTTTCCCCTGGGGAGAAAGAGGATGTGGGGAAAGGAAAGCTAGGAGAGCGATCGCAAGTGAACGACCGGGCGACTGGGTTGGGGGCGTGGCCAGCCAGGGATCGTCATCGGTTCGGCAACCCACACCAATTAACCGCTACCGGTTTGCCCAAGTAGGTGCGAACCGGTTGAATACCACCTCTGATCTACATATGCTAAGGTGGTGTTAAGCCTGGACTGTAACCAGGTGTAGTGGAAAATGAATAGCATTATTTTCCAGCATGTTTGCAAACTTTTTTTTAGTGCTTCTCTCTCGAGGTCAGGGGCGGTCAAACTGGTGGCCCATGGACCGGATGTGTCACATAAAGGCCACTCCCACCTCAGCTCTGCAAATGGTAAAAATGTCATGAAATGTCATGTGATGGCAACATGACATGGCGAGTTTGACATCTATGCTCTAGGTAGATAGAATAATTAATAACTCCATTTTTAATTTAGAAGAAGGTAACTACCACATTCTTTAGATAGGAAAATATTTCACTTCTAAATAATTTGTGATTTGGGATCCACTTTTTTAAAAATGAAAATATGCCAAATCGTTATAGTGAAGCTACTTCAAGAGTGAATCCTACTGAAGATGAATTGTTATAGAAATGATGACTTGTCTTTTAAATACCTGAACAGGTCTTATTTTCCTTTTCTGTCTTGTCCTATTCTCTGACCTCTTTCCCATTCATCATATCCATCCAGGTTTATTCCTTTCAGCTCCTTCTTCCCCCGTCTCCATCTTGTTCCTTGTCCCTTTCTTAATTGCTCGTTCTGCTGGAAAAGGGAAGGGCAGTTTTTGTGTACATCTGGGAATGGTTTGTTGTATCCGTATAAGGGGAAGATGGCATATGCCAATCCAATTATAGTTGAAAGTGGATTGCCTTATTTTACAGACAGTTACAGCTTTTTTTTTCTTTTGATTTTGTTCTGCTTTTTCTCTTTTTTGGCATGGGCCTTTTGACAAGAATGTGTTTGTGTATATATTTATGTATATGCCTGTGTGTGTGTATCAATGTACAAATATAACATGCATACAGGTGGTTCTCAATTTATACCATTTGTTTAATGATTGTTTGAAGTTACAGTGGCACTGAAAAAGTGATTTATGGCCGTTTTTCACACATACAATTCTTGCAGCATCTCCACGGTCACATGATCAAAAATTGGGCATTTGAAAACTGGTAGGTATTTATAACAAGTTGCACTGTCCTGGGTCTGGGATCATGTGATTACCATTTGCAACCTTTCCATCCGGCTTCCAACCAACCAAGTTAATGGAGGAAGCCAGATTCATTTAACAATCACATGAATCATTTAACAACTGTAATGATTCGCTTAACAACTGTGGCAAAAAAGATTGTAAAATGGGGCACAACTCACTTAACAAGAGCCTTGCCTAGCAACAGAAATTTTGGGCTCCATTATGATCATAAATTGAGGACTACCTATATATATTTGGAGAAAAGAATGTCTTCAGGACTGATTTCAACTTGATTTGAGAACTCTAGGCCTTGTACGGCATTTTTGTCTATATAAAAATTTCTTTATATCTATCTTGCGAGAATTAAATCTTAAATTCAGGACAAATATTTATTCAGATAAATGTAATATATGGTCATCAGAAATGCTCAATGGAAACCACATAAAGGCAAGCTGAAGAAAGAGTAAATAGCACTCAGTATTGTGGTACAATTTATTTTCTTTTTTCAAAAAACATTTAAAGTAAAGCATTCTTGCTTTTATTTTACAAAGTGGAATTAATATTGCTAGATGATTGATTACCAAACTTTCATGGGATTTAAATCCAATATTTTTTACATTCATCAATTTCTTTTTACCAATATTTTTAAAAACCCACATTTTTAAAAAAATGGACAAATGCCATAGGAAAAGTAGTAATCAGCTTATAGAAAAAAAGGGATTTTTTTTTCCTTGAATGTCTTATCTGAATGCTGAAGCCTGTCTCATATGCTGAAGCATTCATATGAATTTACAAGGCAACTTTCCTTGTTTTTGCTTAAAGATGTTTCACTTCTCATCTAAGAAGCTTCTTCAGTTCTGAAACAATTTTCAATACTGTACTGCTATGCATTCTGCTTAAGTGGAAATGATGATTACTCAAATTACATCAGATGGAGCTTGTTCTCATTTGAATCTATAACTCAGAATTTCATTGTGGTGTAAATTGATGAGAATCATAGTAGGCAAGGAAATCCAATGGAAATTATCTTCGTTGACTTTTAAAATCATTTATACTTTCATAATTTAATTGGTGAAAAAATCTACAATAGTAGTAGTGCTTGAGAGCAATCACCATGAATTTAAATATTTTTTAAATAGATATTTGAATCAAACTTTGTTTCGTTTTCTTCATTCGCCATCTCATTATAAGCAGCTAAATTACTATGACATTATTTGATTTTTTTTTTGGAGTGGAAAAAAGGATTGTCTTTTTTCCCTTTAGAATATAATTTTCTCTTGATTTGAAATTTTTCTAGTGTATTTGCTAAAGAAATTTGCTGAAAGTATATTTTTCTTATCATAAGAAATAATTTAGGCTTTTTGTTTCTCTTAGGATTTCTTGTTACAGATATTTACTGTTTTTCGAATATTGATACGGCCAGAAATGTTTCCAAAAGATTGGACAGTCATGCGTTTAGTTGCTAACAAGTAAGATTTCTTAACTACAAATATAATCATAATATGGGTCTATCTTTATTGAAATTGTTCCTTATTGCTTTCTGTTTGCAAAATGCCAACAAAATTCATTTCCTTATAATACAAGCCAAGGAACTTTACAGCTTTTTTTAACCTAATGATCTTATTTGAGTATAATATAACTATTTTATTGTCCGTCTGTCTGTCTATCTATATTATTTATTATGTTTATGATTGGTAGTTAATGAGATCATAAATGAGACATCTATTTTATTCAAATTAAACCTTAAATATTTCCCATCCTCTAGTGAATAACAAAGACATGTATTAAACTGAAAATGTTTTTAAGATCAGCATGAAACAGTCCCCTCAATAAATTCCAAGTTGGCATTCTCATGAAACAAAACTTTGAATATTGGCTATTTAGATAGAATAAAATGCCTGTCTGTTTCCTCAGGGTCTTCAACAAACTAGATATTTTTTTTAACACAGTTACCTAAGTCTTCTATGAAAATACAGCACAACAAACTAACAAAATTTCAAAAAATACTCAAGATGAAAGAGGTGCGATCTAAATGACATCCACATTCAAATCAAGATCTTGATATAATTTGAAAAGATTTTGAGTTGGGATGGGGAAATGCCTAGACAGCTTCAGTTATTAATTTCTTCAGCAGTCATTCAACTTCACTTTTTTTTTCACTGAGTCAAATTATTTTAAATGTCTATTGTTTTTCCCCATTAGCAATAGGCTATAATCAATTCCTGCTGCTATTCTGTTAAGGCCTGGGGCAGGCAGTAAGGCACTGTTCTAATCAACAACAGTTACAATATTGGAATGTAAGTTACAAAACATTGTTTTCTGAATGAAATGATCAACCTTTGGGATTGTAGCAAAAATGGCTGCTTTAATTCTGACTGGAAACAAAACTCTGAGAACAGATACTGTACAAATGTTTGGGTTTTATAATACTATACAAGTGAACGTAAAAATGTTCTGCAGGCCACCATTGAATAATACTCATCATGCTTTCATGCTGATTAGATGTTAGTTCAATTATATCACTGCAATTAATTGTCTTTCCAATGTGTTAGCAAAGCATATTTATTAGGACTTCAGCGTCTACTTCTCCCTGATCCCTATCCCATCTCCCCAAATCCTATGGTATTTTGATCAAGTAGTGTATCTGCAGAATAATCCAGGAAGTAAGGCAGAGTTAATATTTGGATAAACACAAGAAAGATTTTTTTTTGCAAAAAATAGATTCGCCTGAGAATGCCTAGGTATTTAAGTCTTTAATTTAATTATTCAAAAGCCCTGATGATATTAATAGCAGTCAATGATTTTGAACAAAAGGGATGGTTCTGCATTAGAGAGAACATAAGTTTTTGAATTTAAATTTCATGCCAAAAAGATAAAAAAGCAGTTGGGACAAACTAGCAATATGCTACAAAACAAACCTAGCGATACACTAATGTATTAACTAATTCTGTTCCATTCTTCATTTTGTGAGTTTAAGAAATATATTGAGAATATTTCATAGTCTTCACAGAGTGAGGTTCAAAGTCTGTATTATAAAACTTATAGACTCCTATTTCAGACAATTTTAAAGATTTATATTTGTGTATCTTTTTCTCTGTAAATTGTTTTTTGTATTAATAAAAATAACAAAGATATAAAACAATGTGTAAATTGCTATGTGAACAATTAAATATATAATCCATCTTTTGTTTTTCTAATAGTGTTATTATTACAACAGTGTTATATCTTTCTGATGCCCTTCGCAAAAATTTCCTAAATGAAAATTTTGATTACAAGGTAAGCTAGCAGTTGGTTTGCATTATTTTATGCATGTTTTTATTTAAAGTAATTGTGTAGCCTCCCATCTCAATAGCAATAGCACTTAGACTTATATACCACTTTACAGTGCTTTTACAATGCTCTCTAAGCAGTTTATAGTGTCAGTATATTGCCCCCAACAATCTGGGTCCTCATTTTACCCACCTCAAAAGGATGGAAGGCTGAGTCAACATTGAGCCTGGTGAGATTCGAACTGCCAAATTGCAGGCAACTGACAGTCAGCAGAAACAGCGTGTAGTACTGCATTCTAACTACTCCACCATCCCAGCTCTTAAATTAAACTCTAGATGACTTACAACCAATTATGAAGCTCTTTTTGTCAAATGTAAATTGTTTCTCCAGTTTAACCATCTTACCCCAGTGTATGTGTCAGCGGTGACAGCTATTCTGCACCACAGATGAGAAAATAAAAGTTTATGCCAAACCCTGGGTAGCTCCCAACTGATTTTAATTCATCTTCACAGCATCTACTTCCTTTTAACTGGGAACAATATTGGTACTAAGCTCTGTTTTTATAATAAGATATAATAATCTTTATAATAGGTCATATGCAATGCAATACAAAACAACATGTCTTTATAATATTACAATTTAATGTTTATAATAAGAGAGCCAGTTTTCTGTAGAGGTAAAGGTCCTGGCCTGGAAACAAGGACATTATGAATTTTAGTCATGTCTTAGGCATGAAAGCTGGCTGGATGATCTTGGTCTCTCAATCCAACACACCAAACAGGGATGTTTTCTGCAGGAAATAGGAGGATGAAGGAGTATTTTTATATTCACTGCCTTGAGTTATTGATAAGAAATAATAATGGTGGTATAAAATTCTAACAAATAAATAGTCACCAGTCATTTTTAAAACACACTGAGACATAAATAAAGGAACATTTACAAATAAGTGAAAGAAACAAAGAGGAAAAAATAACAAATTGTAATTCAAGAGGTTTCAAACACAGTAACATTTATTAGAAAAAAAATCAAAATGACATCGATATAAATTCATTGATGTTCTCATTATTGAATTACTTCATTTCAGTTGTTCTGTTCAAATATTTATTTTGACTTATCTATAAGTTGATTAAATCCTATTCATTAAGTGAGTAAGTTAACAACTGCTATCCCTTTGATTATGCAGTTCTTAACTTATTCACTTGTTGGGTAGCACCGCGTCTGGCACGGAGGAGAGATCAAGTGTAGAGTTAGTTTGGAGTCCCTGAACAACTTGGGCTTGGATTGAAGGGCTTGGATTGAAGCACATTCCTTTTTAGTTCCTTGGAGTCTTATCTAGGAGTTGACTGTTACCAGGAGTAGGCAGTCAGATTGGGGAAATTTCAAAATTATAGGCAAAACATAAAAAAATAGATCAAACTCTGCATGTGGGGGATTGGTGATTGTGCCTGACATCACTTGATGAATCATATTTAACCAACTTATAGATTAGTCAAAATAAATATCTGAATTATTTTGTGTTAGGTATTTGAATTTGGTTAGATTCTATGTTTTAACTTAAAAATGAACTTAGGCATGTAAGTCTGTGTAGCTACACTAATATGAAACTCAAATACTTTGGCCACCTAATGAGAAGTCCTTCCTACTCTTAAGCGGCCAAAGTATTTGAGTTTCATATTAGTGTAGCCACGCAGATATTCTCACTGGAGAAGAGCCTAATGCTGGGAAAGATTGAGGGCAATAGAAGAAGGGAATGTGAGTGAGGTGGCTGGATGGAGTCACTGAAGCAGTAGGCATGAGCTTAAATGGACTCTAGAAGATGGGAGACAGGAAGGCTTGGAGGAACATTGTCCATGGGGTCACGATGGGTCAGACACAACTTCGCAACTAACAACAACAAGCTACACTAATAAATAGTCACTAATAGTATATTTAAAAGAAATGCAATGATAAAATTATTGTCTATTTGCAGATTTGGGATTCTTATTTTTATCTTGCTGTCATATTTATAAATCAGTTGTGTCTACAGTTAGAAATGTTCACACCTTCTAAGAAGAAAAAAGTACTAGAAAAGTAAGTATAATTGTTGGTTAAAAAAATAGAGAAAATCAGTGTGTGTGGCATTCATTTTTTTCTGTACAAAATGTTATTAAGATTGAAAGTTATCAAAACTATGTGAAATTTGCTGTTGATTATTATTGAGAGACAGAATTTTGTTTTTCAAGGCAGAATCGTTTGAAGCAGTGATAGGATTCTGCCAGTTCACACCGGTTCAGGAGAACCGTTTGTTAACTTTCTGAGCAGTTCTGCGAACAGGTTGTTGGAAGAAATCTCTTTTTCTCACTTTACATGGCTAATCCTGTCAGGAAGGTGTGCCTCAGTATTGTTTCTAGCCTAATCCTTATATTTATTGCCCTGCTTAAGTATTTTCAGAAACTGATTCTCCAACATTGCAACTACTAATGGTTCTTGGCAGTACGCCCAGACTAGCCAGCTTCTCTGGAGTTTTTTGTTTGTTTGTTTGTTGTTTGCTGGTACTTTGTTAGGGGCTTGACTTTTAAAAAGCTTTTTACACTGCTTGGGGCATATTTTTGGGGTGTAACTTCCAAGAGGCAGGATGCAAGCTTGGCACTCTGTCTGATTTTTTCACTGCCTTTCTGGGGGCATATGATCTTTCCTTAAATCTGGATTTCCTTAGGATATCTTGTGAGGTGAGTGAGATCAACTGATTAAGTGATGCAAATGGATCTAAGGATTGCTTCTCCTGGGTGTGATAGGGTGCTTTGTCATGTTGTGAGGAAATACTCCCCTGCTGGAGTTCTTCCAGCCAGGACGCAACAATCAGTGCTTTGAAGAAATAATTGAATAATGAATCATATGGTAACTGCCGGAAAGAAGCTTTTAATGACAAGGAAGCAAGATGAGTGACATTCAGTAAGGCTTCTTGGCTAGCTAGAAAGATTGACATTCAAAGATGAGTTCATATACCCTTTCTGAGTTTTTGGTCTAAAGCTGGTTTGTGGTGAAGTTTAATTCTGTGCTTGGCAACATTTAATCTTGTGTTTGTTGATGGGATAATTTTCCCTATTTAGCTTTGTTTGGAAGGAAAACGGTTAATCTCTGTTTCTGAAAATAAGCACGGTTGAGAAATCTGGCTAGTTCCTGTGTCTATTTGTTCTGGTAATTGATTTCACAAGGGCAGCTTCTGTAAACTCTGGCAATGAGCCAGACAGTTTTTTTTTTCTTCCCTTGTGTTTTAGTTAAAAAGGATTTAAAGATTTGTGATTTAATTATTTGTATTGTGTTTGGATTATTTGCTATCTCGTGTCTTCTTCCTCTATCTGGGGAGGGGGCCTCCCTTCAGTTAGTTCACTGAGCACAGGAGTCTCTTGTCTATGGGGATTCTCCACTCATCCAGGTCATGATTGTCCCAAAAGTGCTTTTTTCAAAAGCGTTGGAAGAAATATCCATCTGTTCAGTTCCAAGTGGGAAGAAAGACACTGGAAACTTGAAGGTTGATTGGAAAGATGGTTTATTTTGGTGAACAGGACCACATGGATTTGAGGCCCTGGGCAGCTGACCAATTGGTTTGATAAGTACATGGATTTTTATACAGTTTATTCTACAGCATTTTGTAATTTAGAGGCTTGTTTTGTGTATTTTGGTATTTGATTTTAATTAGTTTGTCTGCAAAGGCTGGAAATGAGTTGGGGGTTTTAATCTTGTTTAATGTAATTAATCCTAGATGCTGGCTTCCTTGGGGTTTTGATTCTATCTTGAATGGATTACCAAATCTGCATTTTTAAAATGCAGTTTCTCTTCAGTTTCCTTGGGGCTATTAAGAAAGACTAATTCTGTTTCCTGCCTTTTTAAGACATGTTTCTCTATTTCATATTTAGGGAAATATAATTTTCTGCCTTTTTAATATTTCTCAAAATATTTCTTTTTTTTGCCAGGGAGGTTGCTAACTTTCTACAAGAGACATCTACACTTTCTTGGTTTCCAGAAAGTCCAGTTGCCTCTTGAAAAAACACCTTTGAAAGAGACAAGAGTCTCTTTCATTGCTTCGGAGTGGATAAGGCACTGATAGTAAGATACAAAAAAAGGGTGTAAAAAAAAGGGATGTGGATCCTTCAGTTCATTTTAGTTTTCTCTCATGATAATAAGGCTTAGTAACATGGCACCAGGCTTGAAGTTTATTTAGAGATCTGTGGCATTTACTAGTTTTATTGTGATCCTGACAAGCTTGGGAGACTTGAACCTGGGTCCCCTATAATACTTTGTTGATTTGTCTCTTTAGCTCGGCATTTTGCAGCCCAAATATGCCCACCTACTTTCTGGAGAGCTTAAACCTCTCTGGTAAAGGGTTTCACTTTATGAGCAAGAGTTGGCTGCTGATAGTTATTGTTGCACTTTAACTATTTTAATTCCTCAAGGTGCTCTGACACCCTGCCTGATTTGTAATTCCGGGTTGCAGGTATTGCTGAATGGTTTAGATTTCCACGATGGCTGTGGCTATCATTGATCTTCAGTGTTTATTCCCACATTTGTGATCTAATGATTGGTATTTAGGGCAGTTTTTTTTAAAGCAAAGAAGCTTTTTGTATTTTTGTACAGGTAATCCTTGACCTACAACAGTTCATTTAGTGACCATTCAAAATTACAATAGCACTGAAAAAAGTGACTAATGACCATTTTTCACACTTATAACTGTTGCAGCATTCCCATGGTCATGAGAGGCTTGGCAATTTAAAGCTCCCCTCAATGTGAGTGATGTCAAGTTGGCCACAACCACCCAGTCACATGACCACCCAGCCATGTCTACCCAGTTGGTCATTAGGGCAGAGAACCAGATGTTAAATTATTTGTATCCCACCACTGATTTGAAGTACATTTGATTACTTAAGTATGTTTAATGGGATGTACCTGACAACATGCACAGTGCTCTTGAATAAATCTTACCTGGTTTACAGCACTTTGATTTAATGGTTATAGCTCACTGAAATTAATGGAGATAACTTGCAGGAAAATATCAATTCAAACCATAAGTAGAATGCACTTGTTAGAAATGATGAGGTATGTAATTAAATCTTTGTGTCAATGATTCCTATGGTTATAGAAAAAAAGTTGTTTATAACCGATACCACTTTGATTCTTTAGTAGTAAGAACATAAGGAGCAACATCAAACCATCTATAATATCTGCAATTGTCTTCCACAAATGCTTGTCCATTATTGGATGCAGACACAGTGTTTGAATAGTTCAGAAATATTCTTTCTGTGATGTGTTGTGGTTTTCTAGCTGCTTTTCATTTTCTGTTTTAATATTTTGTGAAAACATTCTGTTGGGTTTTTTTCTCTGTAATAACAAATTGCTTACTTGCTGCAAACATACAAAAAGTACGTTTTGTGATAAAGTGAAATTATTAATGATCTAATCTGATTTTTTAAAAATGTAACAGATATGGTGATATGCGGGTGACAATGGGGTGTGAAATCTCCAGCATGTGGCAAAATTTAGGTAAGATTAAATATATGGCTTAAGCTTTAAATTTGCATAAATGTTTGACTTTCAATATGTGTGTTTAGAAAATGTTTTATGCAAAACTGTTTATTTGGTATCCAGAAATAGTCAGTACTCTGCATGTCACCTAGTTCATGGAATGTGGGCAAGGCAGCCTTTGAATTAGAAATACTAGCTTACATGCAATAGTTCCAGTAGTTTGGCATTAAATGGTCAGGTGCAAATAGCTAAACTCACATGTGAGGAGTTTAATTAGCCATTTTATTGCTCAAGCCTATATAAAAGAATCTCCTCAGACTGATCTTTTCACCTAGGCGAAACTAGATAAAATTCAACAGCATTCAAAGAAAGTTCACCCCCTTGTGCCTATTTAAAGACTCTAAGCTAATTTGTTCTTTGAATTCTTCCCCTGGTTTTCTTACAAAAACTGGGCTTTAATGATTCTTAAGGCATAATGGGCAAAATGTGCCAAAACTGATTGGTATTGTGCACTTACATGGGAATGTGGCATATTGCATGATTATAATAAAGGCTGGTAACCAAGCACATTCTTTAATAACGTACTTTAATAATATACTTTTTACACTTGTTAGTACAAGTTTTACATGAAAACCTTGTAATGGGAGGTGGAGGTCAGTATTAATTACCATGTATTGGCAACCATGGCATATAAAATATATGAGGAGTATATATGCATTAATGAATGAAATAAAGAAAAATAGATATTTTGCTGTTTGTAAAACGAAAAGCAAGAAGTGGGTGTAATAGATCTGAATGAAGGTAGACTGGTATTGTCTTACATAGGTATAGATACCAGGATGTGATGGTATAGGTCTGGGTGTCAAACTCAAGGCTCGGGGGCCAGATCCGGCCCACGGAGTACTTAGATCTGTCTGACCTGCGGGGATGCCCTGGAAACAGCAAAGGACCAGCCCGTGGTCGGTGACTCTGCCGGTGAAAACAGAGTTCGGGAGGGCCGCGTGCTCTTTTCGCTGGCAGAGGGTTGCAGGAGGGTCGTCGCAGCCGAAAGCAGAGCTCAGGAGTCCGTTTTTGCTGGCAGAGTGCTTGGGCCACCACAGGCGCCCCGATATGAATGACATCGAGCTGGCCACACCCACACTGGCCATGCCCATCCCGGCCCCCCAAGATCAAACACAACCCTGATGTGGCCCTCAATGAAATCAAGTTTGACACCCCTGGTACAGATGTACCATGAATGAATAAACTTATATGTATTTCAGGAAATATAAATTGGTGTTATTTACATAGTTTTAGATCTTTATGAAGTAGGAATTACTTGATTGATGATATTTGCTCAATACTAGATTAATATTACTGAAATTGTAAAATATATTTTATTTAGTTTAGTGCCAATAAGTCAAATCAGACTCTTGCTGACTAATAATGTATATGCATATGCTCCCCAAAAGCCTGATTTTAGAAATGTACCTCTTCCAGAAATGTTCCAGCAATTTTGTCCATCCTACTAATTAGTTGTTCTGCTTCCCTCAGCCTCTAAGCATTATTGTGCAGGATCTTTCCCAGCTTCCATCCCCCAACTTCCTATATTCCCCAGAATGAACAGAAATGCATTATGGGAAAGGGATGGTGTTAGATAGTTAGATTAATGCAACATATTAATTTGAAATTTCAAAAAGTACCAGAAATTATATGGACACAATAATCTTTACTTTTACTTCCGGTTCGGGCTTCTTTGGCAATGGACCAAAATCCACGATTGTGCACGGTTTTGATCCGTGCTTGCCACTGGAGCGCCCCAAGCCGCCCGGATTAGCGGCTGAAGCCACCCCGTAGAGGTGGTGAATAAGGGGGAGCCATCAGTGGGGTTGAGGAGAGCCATATGTCTCCTCCTCGACTGGCCATTACTCCCTTTCCCAAAGGCGGTTGCAGCAGTGGTCGAAATGGCTACCTCAAAGAAGAACCCTACCGGACAAGATTGTGCAGGAGGAAGTTAAAAGGAGAAAGTTTGACTGACTGGGTTGAATGGAGAACATCTATTTAAGGTACCTGGAACCTGAATTTTAAAGACTAATACTATTCCTAAAAAAGATCTTAAGCGACGAAAGAGAAAGGGAAAGGAAACGGAACTGGCTTTTTTTCCTCTCACATTGACAGTTTTAATTTACTTGGAACGTTAAGAAGAAGAGATTCGAATAAGAAATTGATATTAATAGGCTATTTCTAGCTGAAAATAAAGTGTCAAAGGGATAAAGATTCTTGGATAATTTAAAAACTTTCTTTAAAAAAAAGAAAGAAAGAAAGCGGAGGGAAAAAGGAAAAAAGAGGGTGGAATCTGGAAAATGGAGGAGATCATCTGGAACTTAACAAAATTGATAGTGGAATTTTAACAAGGCTTGCAAAAGATACATTGTAGCTGAAACTTTGTGACAAGATAACAAAACCCCTGCAAAGAGAAAGTGAGAAAAGAAGCAAGAAACAGTTTTGGATTATTGGATGATTCCTGGAATTTTGGATGGTGGATCTTAATGAAACAAAATAAAATCAATTGGGGGTTGTTTAAATTTTTTAAAATGGCATCACTCCTTGAAGAGTTAAAAATGAGTCTTAAAGAACAAAAAGAAGAAGCACGAGAGGGAAGAGGATCTTTTGGCTTCGTATTTCAATTTTTAGAAATGGAGATTTTGAACTATGAAAAACAACAAGAAACGCTGGCAGAAGAAGAACGGCAGGACAACAAAGAAGCCATGTTTAATGACCAAGCAATTTTAAGTGGGGTAAAAAAGGGAAAGGGGGAAAGGGAATTAAACACTTAAGCACTATAATTTGAAAAGCAATCATAATATCAGGAAGAAGCAGAAGGAAGGATCGCAGAAGGGAGAATCAGATAGAAAAGGGAATAAAAAGGGGAGGGAGAAGAAGAGAGGGAAGAGGGAAAGGAAAAGAAGCTACAAAGGACAGAAACAAGATATAAAGGTACAGGAAAAGCGTACAAGAATTAAAGTTATAAACCTATTTAAAAGACACAGAGACAATGGTTAAAATTTAACTTAAGGAGAGGATTCTGCAAGGGTGCATGGGATAGCATTGTTATATTAGAAATAGAAAAGGGTTAGAAAATATGTTTAGATGATTAAAGTTATAGAAAAAAATTTGTATTGATGTGTAATGGAATATTTGTTTGTAAAGAGAATAAGGCTCTCAATGATTTAAAAAGAAAGTTAAAAAAAATCTGAAAAAAAACATGGAAGATTTTTATCAGTTGACAAGATGAATTTGAATAAGAATAATAATTTTATTGAGTACTGTTAATAACTATTGTTTTGTTTTTTATTTAAAGACAGTAATAAGTAAAATATGAGATGATTAAAGTGAAAGACAACTGATATTACTAGGTAATGTTTGTTAAAATAAATAGAAATGTAAAAGATTGTTATTAATATTAATGGCAGAGCTGTACTTGAATAGAATAATTTACTATTGTTATACATATATACACAGATACAGGTGAAACTCAAAAAATTAGAATATTGTGCAAAAGTTCATTTATTTCAGTAATGCAACTTAAAAGGTGAAACTAATATATGAGATAGACTCATTACATGCAAAGCAAGATAGTTCAAGCTGTGATTTGTCATAATTGTGATGATTATGGCTTACAGCTCATGAAAACCCCAAATCCACAATCTCAGAAAATCAGAATATTACATGCAATCAATAAAACAAGGATTGTACATAGAAGAATATCGGACCTCTGAAAAGTATTAGCATGCATATGTACTCAGTACTTGGTTTGGACCCCTTTTGCAGCAATTACTGCCTCAATGCGGCATGGCATGGAAGCTATCAGCCTGTGGCACTGCTGAGGTGTTATGGAAGACCAGGATGCTTCAATAGCGGCCTTCAGCTCTTCTGCATTATTCGGTCTCATGTCTCTCATCTTTCTCTTGGCAATGCCCCATAGATTCTGTTGAGGTAATTCCCCATTAGGAGAATGAGTGCACACAGGGAGACATAGTGAGACTAATGTTGAATAACACACAACCAGCACACAGATACACTGAATAGTAAAATGTAGGTTTTTACTTCCAGTAAACGGTTAAGCAGAGTCCAACAAACAGTCCAAGTCATACATGGTTAAGGCAGTCAGTATTCAATCCAGGGATAATCCAAAAACAAAGTCCAGTATCAAAAACAGTTCAGTAAATAGTGTTACAGCAATCCAAGAAGAACTACAATCAGCAACAGTCAATAGGGAAAATACAGGAACCAAGAACATTGACCATCTAGCAACTACCAACAACAGAACAGAACTAACAACCCAGGTTTCTGGCTCCATCTTACGGCCGTTTGAGGAACCACACCCATTTACAATTTTAGCATTCCCTTAAAGAGACAGTATTAAATGTCTGTCCTGGTTTATATATTTCTAACCCAACTGTTAGGTGACTTACATTCCTAACAGATTCTCTATGGGGTTCAGATCAGGCAAGTTTGCTGGCCAATCAAGCACAGTAATCCCACGGTTATTGAACCAGATTTTGGTGCTTTTGGCAGTGTGGGCAGGTGCCACGATCTGCTGGAAAATGAAGTCAGTATCCCCATAAAGCTTGTCTGTGGAAGGAAGCATGAAGTGCTCCAAAATCTCCTGGTAGATGGCTGCGTTGACCCTGGACTTAATGAAGCACAATGGACCAACACCAGCAGATGACATGGCTCCCCAAATCAACACAGACTGTGGAAACTTCACACTGGACTTCAAGCATCTTGCAGTGTGTGCCTCTCCATTCTTCCTCCAGACTCTGGGTCCTTGGTTTCCAAATGAGATGCAAAAGTTGCTCTCATCAGAAGCAACAGATCAGTTCTGTTTTTCTTTAGCCCAGGTAAGATGCTTCTGACGTTGTTTGTTGTTCAGGAGTGGCTTGACAAGAGGAATGCGACATTTGAAGCCCATGTACAGGATCCATCTGTGTGTAGTGGCTCTTGATGCACTGACTTTTCATGATAATCATCTCAATTATGACACATCACGGCTTGAACTATCTTGCTTTGCATGTAATGAGTCTATCTCATATATTAGTTTCACCTTTTAAGTTGCATTACTGAAATAAATGAACTTTTGCATGATATTCTAATTTTTTTAAGTTTCACCTGTACATATATACTTTTTTCTTTTAAGAATTTAGTGTGTATTTTTAAGGTAATGTACCAAGCAGAATTCGATTGAAAATAGCTTTGTGTTATAAAATAGAGGTTAAAAAATGAATGTTATAACTGTAAAGGTGTAACTTAAATTTTTAAACAAGATTTGAAAAAAGATACAAAGATGTTACATTCCAGTTTAGTAATTACAGGGGAAAATTTGTTTTATGAGAAAAGATAATATGAAATTGTAAACAGGTCAGATGAAAGTATAAAACATTGATTAGAAAGATTTTAAAAATTAGAAAAAGACATGTAATTGAATTAAGAAAGGAATGAGATAAATTAAATAAGGCTATAGGAAGTAATGAAAGGGAAAAGCTATTGAAAAAATTGCGAAAATTTGGATTAGAATGTATAAAATAATATGTATTGAGTTTATGTCTGTAAGGGGGAAGTGATAACCCGGGGTCATACTGTTCTCAAAAAAAGATATTTTATTTGTATTTGTATGTTTTGTGAAAACTTAAATAAAACTTTTATTTAAAAAAATCTTTACTTTTACTTTTCTATTGTAACTATGTAAATTGAGCTAATTTGCACTTTTCCTTTTTGTTTATTTGTTTGCTTTATTTTTATTTATAGAAAAAGCTATTGGAAAAACTACTGAGCAAAACAGGTTGTACATTCTTAGCACAATTTCAAACATACATCTTCATAAAGCTACAGTGTTTTTTCCTCTAGTATTTTATTCTTGAGAATAGTTCCACTCAATGTATCCTCTTACCTTTTAGGAGAACACAAAATCCACTTCATCCCAGCACTGATTGGCCCTTTCTTAGAAGTGACATTGATACCTCAGCCTGACCTGCGGAATGTTGTAATTCCTATTTTTCATGATATGATGAACTGGGAGCAAAGACATAGTGGCAACTTTAAACAGGTATTTTTGTCAATTCGTTAGGGGAAGATAAATTAATTTTTCAAGTTAATAATTCTTAGACAACATGATATCATTATGTTATGCTTGCTTTCTTGTTTTAATTAAAATTGTAATCTAATCAATTATTCTCCTGAGTATATGTGCTAGTTTTAAAAATGATAAAAAGGAAAAAAAGTGTATGGATTTGACAAATGGATAAGGTTATTTAGGATAATCAAACACACAATTTACTACCAGCACTAGATTTATCGGATTTTACAAAATGGCCTAGGTGTTTGTGGATTTTATAAATGCCCTGGCCTAAATTCATTTTACAGGTAGACTTTGAATTATGAGTGCAACTGAACCTGGAGTTACAGTTATAAATTGTGCCAGTCATTAAATGGATCATCACGTGACCTATCCAATTTTATGACTTTTTTGGCTGTAGTTTTTTTAAATATAGTTTTTTAATTAATTTATAATGTGACATATAAAGATAATACAAAAGTAAATATTAGAGAAATTAGGGAAGAAAAGAGGGAAGTGGATAGTGGGGGAAAGCAACGGGGGGGAAGGCATTCACTTCCGACTCCTTTGGTGCAGCAAAATAAGGCATTAACATCTATCCTCAACTTTTTACTTTTTCATAATAATATAAACTAGCTATTTCTATAACAACAAATCTATCTAATCAGTAAAACCCAAAATCAAAGTTTCATTTTTTTTCCATCTCAAGCACAAAGTCCAAAAGTGGTTTCCAAGTAGAAATAATTTTTTCTACTTTTTTCTTTAATCAAAATGGTCAATTTAGCCATCTTGGCTAACTCTGTAAGTTTTTTCAGTCATGCATCAATTGTGGGGATCGAGGTGACATTCCATTTCTGTATGTAAAGTAGTCTTGCCCTTCCTGGGCGTTTCCCGAAGCTGACCTGGCCTGCCAGGGAAGTGTGCAGGAGATAGCGGCACCAGAGCCCTTCCCAGACATTTTCCAAGCCAGCCTGGCCTGTGAGAAAATTGCGTGGGAGATCACCGGTTGGACTAGTGAGGTAGAAGGGTGAGTGATTGGTAGCCTTTAGGGGAGCGCTGCGCTGGGGTGCTGTGTGTTCTTGGGTCTCCCGCCATCTCTGCTTCTGGAAGGCAGAAAGAAAGCTGTAAAAGTCTTCACCTGTGCCTTCCTGGGGCCCTGGTCTCAGTGCCAATTCGAGTGTGACCTCTGCGGACCTCTGAGAGCCCAAAACTGGTGGTGCCAAGGCCTCCTACTGCTTTGGTCTCGGAGCTGTAAGCCGCATCCAGGAAGCACTCTGGTGGAGAGAACCTGCCGAGGTCAACTCTAGCTTTGCTGTCTGTTGCAGCTGAGAATCTCAAATACAGATGAGAATGAACATTGTGAACTTGTAGCCAGTGGTAGATCAGCCCCCTGCAAACTCGTCATCTCTCGAGGATCCCAGTCACTTGCCAATTGCTGAATTGCCTGGACTCCCAGTGACGGGGTGGGGTCCTACAGGCACTTAGTTTGGCTCCCTGTTTAATAGTTCCAGCCAGCGTCTATAACACAAACATTAATTCTTAGCCGTATCTGAGATTCCTAGCTGCAGTTTACTCGTGAGCACCATTGGCTGGGAGAGGCAGGGAAAAAGGTGAGGGGGCAGCATGGCCGAGGGCACAGGAGCCAGGTGTGGGCAGGGAGGCTGATCCCTCTCAGGAACTACAAAGCGCTCGCCACCTCTCTGACACCCGCCAAGCCTCCTCCCACCACGCTTCTCTTCCTCCTCATAAAAAGCACTATTTTGGGGGAGATTGCGGGATTGCCCCACCTCCCTGCCAGCTACCTTCAGTACGTGGCTTATCGGCTTCTGGATGTCAGATTCCCATCACCCAGTACCAGTTCAGAGGTTCCTTTCCCACCAAGGATGGGCAGAGAGAGAGGGAGAGGGAGGGAGGGAAAGAGAGAGACAGAGAGAGAGATGAGAAAGAAAGAAAAAGAGAGATGGAGAAAGAAAAAGAAAGAAAGAAAAAGAGAGAGATGAGAAAGAAAGTGGGAGAAAGAAAGAGAGACACAGAGAGGAAGATACCTGTTTAAAAGAAAATAGAAAAATGGCTCTTTGAGTGTTTAAGGTTGCAGACCCCTGGGTTAGGCAAACATCATGGTCATTAAGTGAACCTTGTGGTCATTAAGCGAACACTGTGGTTGTTAAACAAGTCCATTTTCCCCAATGGGCATTTTTAACCGGAAACCAGAAAGAATTGTTGGAAACTGGCAAAAACATAGAAAACCTCAGTCACATGACACTGTGGGAAGTTGTGGGAAGTTGTAACTGGTGTGTGTGTGTGTATGTGTGTGTGAATGGCTGTCAAAACTCCAAAAACAGGTCAAGTAGCTCTGGGGAGGTCAGTCGTAAATTAGAACACTTGCTAAACAACTGGCTATTAAGCGAAGACCACTTATATTTGGTTTGCCAGTCACATGGCCACCTGGCCATACCCACCTATTCATATGCCAACTGGCCATGCCCACCCAGTCATATGCCACCTGGCCATGCCCACCCAGTCACATGACCACCTGGCCATGCCCACCCAGTCATATGCCACCTGGCCACGCCCACCCAGTCACATGGCCACCTAGCCATGCCCACCCAGTCACATGGCCACCTAGCCATGCCCACCTACTAGCCACACCCACAGAACCGGTAGTAAAAAAAGAGGGTAGCGTCCCCTAAGTTAAAATATATTATTTTACCATAAGTTTACCAGTTTGGCCTCATCACCATTTATTTTCTAAAAATTAAATGTGGGAACCCCAAGGAGGCATCTTAGTGGAAAACTGTTTTATATTTATTCCAAACTCTCAAAATAGCACGTCTGTCAAAATGATTGTTGAAGTCAACCTTTACTTTAACCTTGTCATGCCGTAAGTAACCGTGCCAACCAAATCTTAATTCATGGTCTTCTAAGTCCATTAGCCTCTTACTCTGAGGGTTCACCCATTCTTTTAACCAGACCAAACAGCAGGCATTAAAATACAATTTCAAATCTGGTAGGCCCAGACCCGTTCTTTCCTTAGAATCTTGCAGTAATCTGTATCTAATTCTTGGGGTTTTTTTTCCCCTTGCCATATAAACTTTGAGATATCCCTCTTTCATTGTTTAAATGGAATATCAGTTGCAAGTATTGGCAGTGTCTGAAAGAAAAAAAAGCAACTTTGGTAGGACGTTCGTCTTAATTACAGAGATTCTGCCCAATAGTGATAACTGCAATTTATCCCATTTGAACAGGTCTATCCCAGGGGTCTGCAACCTTAAACACTCATACAGCCATTTGGACCCATTTCTCACAGAAAACACCAGGCTGGGCATGGCCAACTAGACATCACTCACTCCCACCCAGTTACATGACCCCCCCCCCCCGGCTACACCTACCCAGGTTTTGTAGCTCCCTGTATTTTCTCTGGGAAACAGATCTCTCTCTCTCTCTCTCTTCTCTCTTCTCTCTCTCTTTCTCCGTCTTTCTCTCTCATCTTTCTCTCATCTCTCTCTCTCTCCTTCTCTGTCTCTCTTTCTCTCTCTTTCTCCCTCCCTCCCTCTCTCATCTCATTTCTCTGTCTCCCTCTCTCTTTCTCTCTGTCTCCCTCTCTGTCTCATCTCCCTCTCTCTTTCTGTCTCTCTTTCTCTTTCTCTCCCTCTCTCTCATTTCTCTCTCTTTGTCTTTCTCCCCCCCTCCCTCTCGCCCCCCTTGCGCGTGTGTGTGTTCCCTCTTGAACCATTTCCAAAAACAGGTGAGGGTTGGGTTTTTTTGTTTTTTGTTTTGCTGTTGTTCTTTCTTCTTCTTTGGGTGCTTTTTACCATATTGATTCAAGAGTCATTTCAGGCTCCCAACTAAATGAAGCTCTTTTGTCACCCTACTGTGGCTTCCTGTCAGTTGAATGCATCACTGGCTAGCCTTGCCCCATGTGGCTCTGGAGCTGTGGGTTGCTGGAGCTGTGGTGTATCCCATCTTAATATGTCATTCCAGGGAGGTACAAAACAGTTTTGGATTTGTGTTTGTTAACATAACCCCCAAACATTTCACTTTTTCCTCAACCCTAAAACCAGATTTTTTAATCAGTATATCCCCATCCTGTGCGGTCATATTCTTAACCAACATTGGCATTTTCTTCTTATTTATTTTGAAACCTGCTAAAGACACAAACTCCTTTAATTTCCTCATCAAATATTGTATGGGTTTTTTTTGAAGAAATATCACCAAATCATCAGCAAAAGCCCTCAGCTTATAAACTTCATTCTTAATATTTATACCTCTTATTTTCTCATCTTACCTCTTATTCTCTCATCTTACTCATCTAACTTCCTACACCAGGATAAACAACAGACAAAGAACACCCTTGCCTTGTACCCTTTCGGTTTTCGCATGCATTAGTTAAGTCACCAATAATAAAAACAGCTTTGACCCACTGGATAAAATGCCTACCAAAATCCATTTCTTCCAGCACTTTAAACATAAAGGCCTAATTTAAGTTGCCAAAGGCCTCTGCATCTAAGAATATTAAAACTGCCTGTTGTTCATTATGATACTGTGAGTATTCTATAATTTTGAAGACAGTTCTCACATTATTCCTTAATAATTTTTTTGGCAGAAATCCAGATTGATCATCATGAATATATATCTGTAAAAAAAATTAAAAATCTTTCTGCCAAAACTGCAGCAAATAATTTATAATCCTTATTTAATAATGAAATTGGTCTATAATTCTTTATCATGATGACATCCTGGCTCTCCTTTGGGAGCAAATCAATATTAGCTTCTTTCCAGGTTGGGGTTATCCTTCCCCCATGTAAAATATCATTCATTATATCCTTTAATGGCTGAAGAAGTTCATCTTCAAAACATTTATAATATAGACCTGTAAGCCCCTCTGGGCCAGGAGCTTTATCTGTTTTCATTTTTCTTATAGCTTCTGATATTTCAAAGATAGTTATTGGGTCATTTATAAGTTGTCTTTGAATTTGTGAAAGTTTTGGCAA